ACACACACACACACACACACACACACACACACACACACACACACATAGTGATGAAACTCTTACACGTCCACACGCAAAAACGAGCTGTCAGCGTGTTTTGGTTTATTTTGTCTGACGTTGGGGGATGTCGACGTCAACAACAGCGCAGCAGCAGGTTGCACAAGCGCCACACATTGTGTGCTTGGCTTTTGTAAATAAAGTATTTTACTTTACACCTCCTGACGAACCAACTGAATATGTATTTTACTTTATTATCTCAGGCTTGAACGGATTTACTCGCATGAGGACTCGTTTCCGAATACTTTTCACGATAAAAGTCTTCAAAGTATTTTACTTCAGATATCACGCATACCCGTGCTATTGGCGTTGATCACACCAAATAAAATACTTTTGGCTGTCTTGACAACCACTTTCGCCTGAAAAAAATTTGGCGCCGGCGTCGAGTTCTTGGCGTTCTCGCTTCACGGACCGACGTGTGAGAGCCTTTATCGGCCCCAGCTCTCGATGCACGGCCGCTCTGGCTTGTTGATGAGCCTTTGCCCTGGAAAAATTCCTTCCTCATGTCCCCCACACCTCCCCACCCCCCTTGCTCATTCTCTTTTCTCCCTTGAGCTAAATTTCGCTTGATCAAACTTTGCCGCGCGCTCACCTTTTGCGTGGTTGGTATTCTCGACCACCCCGAGCCAGAGCCGCGTGCGGCAGTAACTCTGGGTGCGATGTGTCTTGGGTGGCTCTTTTGCATCAGCCACGCTTTTGCTTCAATCCTTTAAACCCCCCACGTTCAACCTAGTGGTACCATGGCCACGCCTCCCGATACGGCGCCGCCGAGCCGCGCACCCAGCAAGAAGAAGCTGCGTCGCAGTCGACCCGGCTCCAAGGCCAAAGGCAACAGCGACACGCTCACGGCCAATCTGGCCAACACCAATTATGATATGGTCCGCCGCACCGTATCCGAGAATAACATACAAGCCACCACCAACCCAACCAGCATGGATGCCAACCTGCTTTGGTTCGACTCTTGTCCACCCGCCGAGATCTTCTCTCGGCTGAGCCTCTATCAACGTGTCAATCACTTCCCCCAAACCTGTCAAATCACGCGCAAGGATAACCTGGCTCGAAATCTCAACCGACTCCGCCGTTTGTGCCCCGGTGACGTGGACATTTTTCCGCCCTCCTGGGTCCTGCCTGCTGAGGGACCGGCTTTTGAAACTTACGTGGCCCAGCAACGCGAGCGCCGTGGTACCAACAAGGCCTTCATCTTCAAGCCTGTGAATGGAGCCCGTGGTGAAGGCATCGGCCTGACCAAAAACCCAGCCACCATTCCGCGCGACACCCCACTCCTTGTCCAGGAGTACCTCAGCCACCCTTATCTCATTGACGGCCGTAAATTTGACCTCCGCCTATACGTCCTCGTCTCCTCGTGCCAGCCCCTACGGGCGCACATTCATCGAGATGGCCTCGTTCGTCTCTCTACCAAAGACTACAAGGCCCCCACCGCTGCCAACATGAATAACATGTGCATGCATCTCACCAACTATAGCATCAATAAACACAGCGACGAGTTTGAAAACACCGATGACGCCAGCACTGGCTCCAAACGCTCTTACCGCTGGCTCCTTGACCACCTTCGCGCCACTGGCCACGACACGCAACGTCTCGAAGCCCGGATCAGTGACGTTATCAACAAAACTCTGATCGTTGGCCTGCCCTACATGGCCAAGGGCTACGATGCCGCCCGCCGCGTCTCAGGAACCACCGGCCGCTCCCGGGCCGCTGCTGCCAGCAGCGCCGCTGGAGCCGACATGGCCTCGGCCTCATCCTGTACCAGCATGCCCGACCCATCCCTCTGCTTCGAGGTATCCAACCGTGGCATGTTTTTGTTTTTGTTTTCTTCTATTTAACTGCCAACCCAACTTTCAGCATCACCCTCACCCTGCCCCCCCTTCCTCATGCTATCCACGTGCGCCCCTAGGTCCTCGGGTTTGATATCTTCCTTTCCCGAAAGCTCAAACCATACATCATCGAGGTCAATCGTGCGCCCAGTTTTACCTGTGATTCTCGCGTTGATTCAGATATCAAGCACGACGTTTTGTACCACTCCATCGCCCTCCTGCGCCTCAAGCCCTCAGATCGGGCCCGAGCTGAGCGCCAGCAACGCCGCTGTGCTCTGCGGCGCTTGCAAGGTGGTAGTCTCAACGGCAGTGCCAGTCAGTCTGGTCCTAAAATAGATGACGCCAGCTCCAACCCGACCAGTGCCCGTACAGCCCCGTCCTCGCGAGCCAGCGTTGCAACAAGCGGGGGAACCAACAGCACGCGTACCAGCGCCAGCGTCACGGGGCGTTCCGACTACAAGGACAGCGGTACGCGGACGTCAGATGATAATGAATCGGACTTTGAGCATGAGAGAGCAAACGATGAGACCCGACCCAATGCCACCGACCCCGCACACCCAGCCGACGATGCAGCCAGCCGCCAGCGCGCGACGCTCGAGTGGCAGGCCCGACTTGCTGAGCGTGAGGCCCCCCTGCAGGGGGGCTTCACGCTGCTCTATCCAAGCCATAGTGAGGAGGTTATGGAGCACTATCACAAGCTCATTCATGCTTCGTTTCAAGCCGTGGCCACCAGTTACGGTACTGCTTCGACTACCGTGGGCCTGGGCCGGCGTCGGCGCGCCGCCTCAAGGCAGGCAGCCGCGAGGAACGTATCGCTTGTACCGCGTCATCGCCCGCCAACCCGTTCGGCCCCCAAGGTTGACGTCCGAGAAACCTTGCTTGAAGCCATGTCCGTGCTGCTCGAGTCCGCGCCCCTGGCCCGAGCTCTCGTTCCTTCTTTGGGTACAGAGGCTGCTGAGCAGCTTCAAGATCTGCTCCCAACAGCCCTATGCGACCTTCATGTGCGCTCCTCCTCTACCCATAGCAGCCTGGACACCGTGGATGCACCGCTCTTCGCCCACTCACCCACCACTGCCCCCACCACCGCCCCCACCACTGCCCCCACGAGTCCCTCGCCCACTCCGGCCGCCACCACGACCGAGAATGCCCACACCCTGACCACTCGTTCTGCCTTCACCCGGAATGAGGTGCTTCGATCTTGGATTCAACACCGCCGCAGCGTTGCTGCCTTCTTCCTCAACGCGCTCGGCTTGACGCAGCGCCGCGCACTGCTCCGGGCCTGCCAGCGCGATTTGCACCGCATCCTGGCCAGCGAGGCCCGACGGGCCGTGCGCTTTCGTACAGCCCTGCAGTTGCTGAATACAACATTTGAGCGTCTGTGTGCCCATCACTGTCATGCCCTTTGGAACGCATTTGACGTCCCACTCAACGACGGCGTTGGTCTTCTCAGTCTGCTGGGCATGCGCGTAGGCGCCCTCGAGTGCGACTTTGTCCAACTTCTCATCGCCCTCGCCAAGCAGCGCTTGATCGATGCCTATGTTCAGTGCCGTACTCAAACGGTAGCACGTGCTTCCGCCTCTGCTCTCATAAAGCCTGCCCTGGTGGGCGACACCGAAGCGACGGCTGACCAAGTCACAGCTGCAGCGGCCCCTGTTGCAGCGTGCTCGGTATTACCGGCCTGCAGTGATGCCCGCGAACCTGCGGCATTGCCATCCCGTGATCACCTCTCGCGTCGAGTCCTGCACCCTTCGCAGCACATGATCCAGCTGCAAGTGGCCACTGCGAGTCTAACTTTGCCGCCCGCTGCTCACAACACACATCATCTCCAGCGCCCCAGTCGCGTTGTGGCACCAAGCCGCTCCATCGTGTCGCTTGCTGCCCGCGTCGTGCCCACGCGTGTTTTTTCGTGACCACTACAACGAATCTGCCTGCCCATCCGCTGCATGCTGGTCGCCTCACACAAAACCATCGTGAAAGCCAGCGCACGCGAGCGGGACCCTGATAGTCCTCCCTTCCATCCACGTCCCGGATCTAAGCTAAGAGATAACATTGATGATAATAATATGAAACAACGCAAGCGATTATTGCTCTGAATGTTTTTTCAAGTTAGTTTTAATTGAATCAAGACTGTACGCACGATCGAGCACAATATAGCCTGTCCCTAAGTCAATTTAGCATGCGTTCAAAGGGATTCTCTCGATGCCCTTTCCGTGCTTTTTTTTTTTTTTTTTTTTTTTTTTTTTTTTTTTTTGCGAATCGGCGTGACGTCGACATACAGAGAATCGCTCTTAGAAAGATTTTCCTAGTCCCCGATGATCTCATGTCGTTCGTTTGCATTGAGCAGCCGACATTCCATGCCGACGGGAGCGCTGCTGTACGTCAGGTCCATCCTGCTCACAGCAATAGCAACACACTGACTCCAACAAGAACAACACTCGATCGCGAAATGCACCAAAAACCTTTTTTTATCTAGATCTTAGATTTTGATTTTTATTTATTTATTTATTTATTGATTATGAAGAAAGCTTTGTAAGCAAGAGGCGGACTCGAAACTTGATCTTATCATAAGCAGAGCTCATGCATCCAAGGGCAAGCAGGCTAAGGAGCAAAAGGGAGCATCGATCATTGATGTGTGTGGTGGCGAGCATTTCCCAGTTTCTCGACGGTGACACAACATCCCCAACACCCCAAGTCTATAAATGAGGCGTTTCAACCCCATCGGTAGTGAGCTAGGCTGGACATTACATGATGCCTCGTGTGTATGGTGGCAGCTTTTCTGAAGCGTTTGGTGCCGCTCGGCGGGACCTCGGCAAGTACGGCATCTTCAGCTGGAACGGTTCTTCGTACACTTGCTTGTACAAGGAAGAGGTCGAGGCCGTGAAGAAGGAGCCCAAGCCTGTTCGCAACCTTCCAGCCGCTGAGGCGGTTGAAAGCGAGCTTCCGGTTTGGACCAAGCAGCTCATTAACGAGCTGGGCGCCAGCTTCTCAGCCGTCTATGCAATTTTTTCAGCTCAATCTCAGATCGAGGTAGCTGCCACGGCCCTGGCTTCCATGCTGGGCCTCTCCGTCCCGGCTTGCATAGGTCTACTGGCATTGCTGAGTTTTACGATCATGTACTTGCTTGAGCGCAAGGGCATTCCAATCACCAACTGTCTGTGATCTGAGGCATCCATAAAAGCACTAAGCGGGCTCGCGGATGTGCGCTTTCTCATCGCTGCAAAGGCACGCGCCCGTCACGGCTGAGGATCCCTGTGTGGATCGCGTCTTTGCTTCATCTGCTGCAAACTGTCAATCATGCATGATTGGCGTATGCATGGCTGCCGAATTGTTTAATTCTTTTTGCATGCAGAAAAATTGAAAAAAATCAAAGTTATTCAATCTTTTCGATAAAATTAAATTTTAATTCATTTCCCATACATCAGATTAAAACGCCGGCTTTTGATGTTTTTAAATCGGATTTCAATTTTTATGTGTTGCGTTGAGTTTTGAGTTTTGGGGTTGGCGTTTGAGTGTGTGTGTGTGTGTGTGTGATCAGGCCGACGACGAGGAGAGATGGAGGAGGATGGCGGCGGGTTGATGGGGGCGCCGCATGAGCTGCGCCCCTTTCCGGACCTACTCGAGGTATGTATGTATGAGTGGGGGTGGGGGAAATGGGTCGCGAGGATATAGCTGGTATTTTCGAGTGTGGCAAGGGGTCTCGGCTCCTTTCTGGCGGTAACGACGCCGAGCTCACTCTCAGCACCTTTCCAGGAGGAGGGCACGGACCTCAACTCGTACCACTACACCGAGCTGGAATCCTTCGACCTTGGCTTTGATGGTATGTGCTTGAGCACGGCGGCAGCTCCATGGGCAAATGCGAGGGTACAGGCTGGTATTGCAGGTGTTAGTGTTCCGGACTAACCAACAACGCGGGCGATAGAAATGCTGGACGACTTTGACGAGGTGATGCTCGCAACTCGCATCGATGAAGCCCGAACGCACGGTACGCATCCTTCAATCTGCTCGTTACATACTCTGCTTCGTTTGTGTTTTGCTTGTGACCTTACATACCATGGGTGTGAACAGAACCGAATCAAGGTGGTTCCGCCACTGAGCTACCCGCAAACGTCCCCTCGCATGTCTGGAATGGCACCCTGGACAACAAGACCGGTCAAATCTTGGGCTGGATCATGTGTACGCCCTTGCTTGCCTGCGTACCCTCGACTTGAGGGGTTCCTGCTTTGGTGTGTCGTGCCAGAGCAGATGCTGTTTCTTCGGCTCTTCTAAGCGTGCCTTCCCGGCTGTGCTTAGATGATTCTTTCCATTCAGAGCTGGCGTATGCCACGTACATTTCCCGTTGCCAGGGCCGGGCTCTCATGGTGGCTGATCAGGACCAGCTGGTGGACGAGTTGCTTGCCTTCATCCTGACTACACTGTTCGTGTTCCCAGCATTACTCCGGCAACACTGAATGGTCGGGCCTGCACTTTAAACTCAACAACTTTTTGCTTCGCAGGGCGGGTCGTGACTTGGAGATTTCTCTTGTCCGCGAACCCTTTGTTCTGCTCAACACACTTCTCACGGCTCAATATCTTGAAAACGTGAGTCTGCAAATTGGATTGGGCCTCGTGCGAATACCTCAGAGCGGAGCCGCTGATCGTTGGGTTTGACCATGTGTGTAGGCACGTATTCAAGCAGAGGCCAGCGAGCCACAGCCATGGCCAGAGACTGCCTTGAGCCGCGCACTTCTTCAGCATCACTTCATCGGGCGCCTGCTAACCATCTGCCATGCCCGGGATGCTGAACATACCATCCCCGGCAGTCGTGTGGCTGTTCTGATCCACCATGCGCTCTTGGTGGGCTTTTTGGCTCCTGTTGTCTCATGTCTTTGATGAGTTTCTGTTTTCTCTTGTGCACACACACAACTAAACAGCATCGGCTCGATATCAACTGGGTCTGTGGGGCGTAGGTAATTCTTGGGGACATTGGGGTGGCAGATCAACGCAAGGCCATGCTGCGCCAGCACTTTGGGCTTCAGGTATGAACATGCTGTCCTTGCCCAGCTCACACGAGCTTGCCCAGCTCGCACGAGCTTGCCCACTTACACATTGCCTGCCATCTACACACTCGCTGGTCTCACGCGCCAACCGACCAACTCACGCGGCGTTTGTGGTTCTCGATGCTGCTGTACAGACCATTCCACCCGGCATGGCCAAGGTCAGGCAATCGTCAATCACTTGATGTGATGCCATGTTTTACTTTGCCATGCGGGGCATTTGCGCTAGCCACGTATAGATGACTCACTTGTGAATGGTGCTGGGTCTCCGCACCTCTCCCAGGCCACGTACGATGATCTTCAACAATATGTCGAGGGTGTAGATGGGCGATTCGTGACAGTGTTCAATCCTAAAACAGGCCAATATGATTATCCCCGACCGATTCATGAGGGCCTGGACATATTGCGCAAGGTATCAAGCTTGGCTTTCCTCTGCACCGCCTGTTGGCTCCATGGCATTCCTTTTCTGACTTGATGGCTGATCATTGCGGTTGCGTCGTTCCTCTCATCTCGTCTTTTCCTTGACCTACAGCACCTTTATGAGCCCTTGGCTCACCGCCAGCGTCTGGAGCTGGAGCGGGCCCTACTTTCTGGGCCCATCCGCACGAGTGCTGATGTCGTGCCTGCCGATGCGTCTCCCTTTACTCATTCTCGGTGTGGACCAGCCGAAACCCTCTATGTCGAGTTGCATGACAATTTGTCACAGCACGTGGTATGGCTATTGCAGCGATGGTACACGACAATGTTTCACGTCTTCACCTCATCTCAGCGTTGCTTGGCAGACGGTTATCCTCAAGGGCATTCATCGAGCTTCGCTGACTGAGGAATCGGCCGCGATTCAAGAAAAGAACGAGCTGCGTTCCTGGGCTGCGTCAACCGAAGAACACAGTGTGTCACTTGGCTGGGCTTGATGGAAAAGTCAAATGAAGAACTACCGTGGCTGTGCTCATGTTCGTTTGAGTTTCTGTTGAATGATGGTGCCTGCAGGCATTGATTTCACACAGGCTGTGCCCAGGCGGCGACACATTATGCTGCGAGCGCTCTTGAGCAGCCTCTTGCTCTTGTGCAAGCATTGGAAGGTCCGTTGTCACCTTCGCGTCATCCCTCAAGGGTGTGCACGCGCACGCATCGATGCGTGCGCGGGTTGATGAGTACGAGATGGAGATTGTGGGGCTGTTACTCCAGGCACGCCCTTCATGATGCTCGGGTCATCTGCATGCCCACAGGTCAACCATGTCATGCAGTTTGAGGGGCTGGCCATGTGTTTGTACGAGCGACGCTGCATTCCTGTCTTACTGAAGCTGCTCTCTGGCGACACCATGTCCTTTATCACGGCCCCCACGGAGTACGTGCAAGCAGCTGTGCATATTGTCCATACACTCGTTGACACTCATTGGTCTTAATGCATCCGTGCATCTTGACCACCCGTCACTAGAATTCAAGAGAAGACCTTGGCTGTGGCGGCGTGGACGCATTTGTGGGGCAAAGCTGATTCGATGGCGGTGCCCTTGCACCCACTTCCTCACCTGCGCTGTTATAAAGCGCCGATTGCTGGGGATGATGAAGCCTTGCTTGGATCCAGCGAGTCTGATGGTGAACTGCTGCGCTATCGCATCTCGAATCGCAATTTGGGTGCCTTGATTTGCGTACCGCGTCTCGTCCAGGTCAGACTTTTTTTTGGATCAAGCCTACATATTGCGCTCGGTAGGATTTACTTTCTTCTCATCATGTTGGCGGGTTCTGGCGTGGGCATGGCGCGGGGTCATGTGATTGGTTCAGAAAATCATCAAGAATAATGACATGCGGAAGCTGGTGGTCATGGCCGAGCGATGCACGGTGCCGCTGAAACGCAGCGTCAAGATTCGCCACCAAAAGTTTCAGCAGTACATCATGAAGGTTTGTTCTTTGGGTCGGAATCCTGATAATCTGTCAAGTACCGGCCGACTGCGAGCACCCTGTCACATCCTGGGCACGACATAGGTCATCAAGAATCTGGCCCCTTTCTTGGGCCGAGCATGGCGCAAGTCCAACATGCAGCTGTTGACCAAGTGAGTCGAGAAAGTATCATCATTTTGTGCGTGATGCTTGTCATGCGCTCAGCGCCGAACCATTGTCGTCCTAGAATTGACCAGTGTGTGCGCCAAACCATCGGAGACGACTGGTTTTACGTGCAGCGCGACGGGGAGGTGAGGTCATGGCATCGCACGTCACCCCAGCCTTGCATATTCAAGAGGGTTGGCATGGTCTTGATGTTCTAAACCCCTGCTGTGGTCCACACAGATTGCAAACTTTGAGAGTGAGGAGACCAAGCTGACCTATGCCATCATGAACTTTAACATTCGCTACTACCAAGCAAACGTGGCGCCAGACTTGGAGCGAATTCAAGCATGCATGACTGTGGAAGAGCTTCTTGAGTCAGTAGCCCCATGGAGATGGACTAGCGGAGCTGTTGGCGGGATCAAGCCGTGCTTGCGTGTGTCAAGGCCTCATGCGCGTGTATTTTGGTTCCGGATTGATAGGTTGGACCTGGATGATGATTGGAACCCAAGCGCTGGCTACCAGCTTGTTTAGTTGATTGATGCTTGCACGGCGGCGGCGGCGAGGCGGAACTTGGGAGAAGGACACAAATGACATGCACATGTCAACTTGTTTGCAGGTTTTAGATTGACTTTTTGAAGTTGAGGAAAAAAAAAAAAATATGGGTCTCACTCTGTCGAGGACGGCTCGGCCGCACATGATACAAAGAGTTGAGTCCTCATTACGCTGATGGAAGGCCCGCAGAGCTGGGTCGCAGGCATCTGCATTTCTTGTATCCTATCCATCAGAGGATGGCGGGCAGCAGTTTGGCTGCGCTTATTCTCCCTTGGGCTTGTCTTTGGAGTCCGTTTTGGTGGTCTTGTCAGTCGCAGCTGCTTTTTCCGCTGCCGTGCGCTTGGCCAGAATCTTGGCACGCTGGTCCTCTGACACGGGTTCGGCGCCCAAGCCCTCGCGCCAGGCTAGCAGGATGAAAAGGGCGAGAATGCAATGCACACCCAGGACCTTTGACGGTTATTGGAGGTGGGAGCGGGACAAAAAAACAGAAAAAGTTCCCAGCGAGTGAGATGAATGATGCGTCAGCCAAACATCCCGTGCGGAGCCGCGGCGCGTCCTACTCACGGCAGCAACGGTGGCCCAGATGTTGGCCGAGCCACGGGCAAGACCCTGTTCCTCTGCCAAGAGTTTGACACGTAAGAAGAAGCCGTCAGATGCGGGTGAGGCTGCCAGGCAGCGGCACCAATGAGCGCTTGGCGAACCGTGATACGCGCGGTGACTGACCAGCGACATAGCGGGTCCCGAAGAAGCAGACAAAGGGGACGGTGAACATGAGGAGACTGGCCACAAGGAGATTGATGACGGCCGTCAATGAAATTTGCACGTTGCTGCCACATTGCGAAGCAGACAGTGAGACACACGTCCATGTGGTCGACCGCACAGCCAGATGTAATCAGCGAGGATGAGCACGCCACATACTTGATCTGCACATTGTTTCCCGCCATGATGCTGGGTCAAAGTGCGCTGATCCACTACCAAACAGCCCGGCGTCAAACACAGTGTCGGCCTCAAGCGTGCTCGC